CTCAATGGCTGGAGGAACCAGCATTTGGGCTAGCCAGGAAGCCAGAACCGATCCCAGGCAAATTTTCAATGGAAGGTTAGCCTATCTTCTAATCACTCTTGCCTGGGCTGGTTGGTTTTATGGCTTCGATACGGGGAATATCGGAGGCATTCTCACATTACCATCGTTCGAACATGCATTTGGGCTCGACAAGCTGACTACCGCAGAGCTTGATAGCCGCAAGGTACCATGCTCGCATACTTCCTCAACGCAACGAAAAATGCTGACCGGTATAGGGAACCATTGCAGCAATGCTCGCAGCTGGCGGATCAGCTGGCTCTCTCTGTGCAGCCCCAACCGCCGATTTCCTAGGTCGCAAGTGGTCTGTTTTTCTATGGGGGTTTGTGTTTGTTATCGGTGGCGTGATGCAAATGATTGCCAACTACAAAGTACTCATTGCTGGTCGCTTCATCGGTGGAATGGGAGTTGGGGCCAGTTCGATGCTATCTCCACAGTTTCTTGCTGAGAATTCACCCAAGTCGGTGAGAGGGTCGGCAACAGCCATGTACAACCTCATGATTCTAGCGGGATTGATGGTCGCCTTCTGGATCAATTACGGTGTTTCTTTGTGGTCATTTCCCGGTGTTGAGCAAGATAACACCCAATGGAGGACGGCAATGGGGATTCAGTTGATTCCTGGGGTCTTGATGTGTCTCATGATACCTTTTGTTCCTGAAACGCCTCGGTATCTGATCAATCATGGAAAGGAAGAGCAGGGGCTGAAGAATCTCTGTCGGCTGAGGAAGCTCCCTGCTGATCATCCGTATATTCAGACGGAATACCAGGAAATCGTTGCTCAGGTCAAATTCGAGCAAGAATGCCATCAAGGACACAGCTACTGGGTCGTTCTTCAAGACATCATTTTCATCAAGAGCAACGCACGGCGATTTTTTCTTGCCGTGATGTTATTCCTTTTCCACAAGTTTACCGGCACTGATTCCTTGAATGTGAGTCCAGAAGTGTCTATCACTCGCCATCACATTCCATACTGACAAAACTCACAATAGTACTACGCCCCAGAGATATTCGAACTTATCGGCCTAAACGGAACATCAAACAGCCTCCTCACTACAGGCGTTTACGGCGTCGTCAAATTCGTCGTTACAATCTTCTACGTCACCTACCTAGTCGACCGAGTAGGTCGTCGTCGGCCACTTCTCGTCGGTGCCGTCCTCCAAGCAACCGCCATGCTCTACCTTGCCCTCTACCTCCGCTTCGCAGGTACAAACACTAGCACCGTCGGTGGAACACCAGCGGGAGGCATTGTTGGAATAGTGTGGATCTATATCTATGCCTTCGGGTGGTCATTTGGGCATAGTGTGGCCTGCTACATCGTGGCGGCAGAGATATTCCCGACCAGAATCGTACGTATACATCGCTGAGCCTCTCTCGTGTAACCCTGTAATTGACTCCCTCATAGAGATCCGTCTGTATGGGCTTCTGCTTCTTCGTCAACTGGATCGTCGACTACGGTATCACTCGAGCCACACCAGACATGATCACGAATATGGGCTGGGGAGTGTTTCTTCTGTATGCTATGCTGACATACGCCGGAGTGGTGTTTATTTACTTCTGTCTCCCTGAATTAAAAGGAAGGTCGATTGAGAGTATCGATGACTTGTTCCAGAGACCTTTGTGGACCATGTGGAGACATGCATATCCCACGGAAGAGGAGAAAGTGCGGCAGGGGATCCCGCAGCTAGCAAAGGGCCAAGCGAATGATGATGGGGATAAGCAATCCGTGGATCATGTTGAGCGTGTCTAGGTTATTCTCTTGTCTAGGGGCAGTTCTCACATTCTGTATTGAATTATGGCTAGGGTGAGTTTATTGATATCATTTTGAGCTCCACTATACGGTTGAAATGCTCCCTATGTTCTGATGCGGTCGATACACATCATCGCGACGCCTATTGCCACCCCCCAGCAACACATAAATGATAAAGTCAGCCTCATCCATACCAGAATCTCGTAGTAGAAAACGGATCGTAACCTAGTGACACCCCCTCCTCTGCCTCACTTTCAGTCAGAAATTAGCGCCAGCGATCACAATGTGACAAGTATCTTCATTGGCTTCTATATATGCACCTACACTGTGCCAGGTCTCAACAAGGTTCCCTAAGCTTTGGTTGGACCGTGCGGATTGACTGGCCCACAAGACGGCCTGGTCCGGTTGTTTGATCCTGCCGTCACTGGTGCCAGTGCTCTTTTCGTACTTTTCCTAAACAAACAGTGCTTCGCTAGTTACCTGCAAGGCTGGGGAGCATGAACAAAGAGAAAGGGGGTCGACCTAGAGTGCAAGTCGTCTTGGTGCAGGCCTTCAAGTATGCAGTCATTTGACAAACTATCTCTGGTTGTGCTTAGTGTACTGTAAAGGGTTTTGACGAGGTGGTGTCCGGGGAGAGGGAAGTTGCGGGTGGCTTTCTCTAGTTTCAATTGATTCTTTGTCTACTTTTCCGGAGTCTCCCGAATCCCCACCGTGTTGGTGGTTTTATTGGTTGCTAGCTAAAGACCTAATCAGGATCGCTTGATGAGTAATGGACTGGACAGAAGTTGGATGAGTTGGCGAAGACCATGAACAAGAGATGAAAGACAATATCAGGAGAGAGAGAGTGAGGGACGGTGTGCAAGGTCAATTGATAATAGAAAGCAGGAACAATTGTATTGCTACCGCCTAAAATCCGTGAACTAAATACATACAATCATCATCACTGCGGAACCTTGAACCCTCCCGGCACCATCCTCTGAAACACTCCGGTGGGATCAACTTCCCGGCTAATGCGTTGCAACCGCGCGACGCTCTCAGGCCCATAACTAGCGATCGGATCTTGCCATTGCGCCGCGTAGTTGAGATAAACAAATGGATGATATGCGTTCAACTCATGTGCGTCCGCCTCAATACCTGCAAACAGTGTCTTGGCGGCTTCCTCCACGCGGGCGTCATCGGCCGCATTATCCCAGGTGGCGCTCAGTAGAGTCACCACGAGCGCTTGTTCGGAGTCAGACGGCAGACCCATTACATTATGGCCTGCAGGCGCCCGTGCATAGAGAGCAGGAGGTAGTGGCTCCAGAGAAATCGACCAGACGATACCCGGCACGTCCTGCACGGCTGCCAGACTCGTATCCCACCTCACGTAGGTCGCTTTCAGCATAGGCACGGTCGCGTCGTGGGTCGTCACTACGCTTAGCTGTCTGTTTGGGTTGTCATGGATTAGCTTTGACAGGTTGAATGGAGAACAGCGCACCGGAGAGCGAAAAGAAGGGTGGGAAGGGACGTAGGGACAGAGGAATTAGTTCTTACCGTTTCCCATTCTGTGAAAAGGACCCCTGCTCCAGGGATATCTCGTGCACTGGGGCTACACGCACAGTGCTGAATAACTGCGGAATATCAAAGAAGGCCCTGTACACAGCTGGTGGTGACGGTGGCTGCTGGCTATCTTCTCCATTCTTCTCAGGTTTCTCCATCTCCCCGGTATACACAATGCTGTTCACCACGGCGGCTCCCTTGCCGCCGGCGAATCCAAAACTGGTGATTAACGAGGCATTCTCATCATAGTGACTCGCTGCCTTGGGATTAGCCAGCTCCACAAATGCGCGTAGCTGAGCATCGATGGTGTCTGTACTGCAATAGACAGACCCGCCATAAATGGGGCCCTGTGGGAAGGCCCGCAGAAAAAAGCCTGTTACGATTCCGAAGTTACTGTTTCCAGCCCCACGCAGCGCTGCCAGCCACTCTGGGTGTTGAGTTTCTTCATCCCAATGCGCAATCGTTCCATCGGCCAGGACTATCTCTACGCCGACCATGTTATCGCACGTCCACCCGTAACGGGGAGAGAAATATGACATGCCGCCTCCGAGCGTTAGCCCGCCAATCCCGACCTGTGCGGCGCGGCCGCCCGCTACCGAAAGACCCAGCGGGTCGAGGTGGGCATAAACCTCTCCCCATGTGGCACCTGCTCCAACGAAGACGGTCTGTTTATCACCGTTGTCTCCGGACGAAGGCAGGACCTTGATGGTGTTGAGAGCGCGCAGATCTATGGTGATGCCGTGATGGATGTTAGACGCTCCCCCAAAGGAGTTGTGCCCACCGGACCGGATGGCAAATTGGAATTTGGCTTGTTCGTGTACAGGCAGAGTGGACGCGGTCGTCACCAAGCTGGTGATAATTTTAGACACATCTTCGGCTGAGTCCGGAGACACCACGCAGGACGGCTGGAGATCGCTGTTCTGCTGAGCAAAATACGACTTTTGAAACGCTTCATATGTCGTTGTGTTCGGGAACGAGACTTTGTCTGGCCCTAAATCTGGGGCTAGATTGAGGAACTGCACCCATAGCAGAGTTAGAGTCTTGTATCTGCACGGGTTTCGGGATTACACGCACGCAAGCTTGCAGCGGGGAATTGCTGGCCGTGGGAGGAGCATGGCTGCCCTTGAGGGGTGGTTGTTCCATGGTGAAGCGAAGATACGAGGAGATAAAGGCCGATAAACCAAAGGGGAGGAATTGGAAAGAAAGGGAGAAGGGAAGGAGGGGACAGTGGCTGCAAGAGGGCGCAGCGGCTTTTAATGAGTAGCCTTAAGGCTTGGTTGCTGCTAAATTAGTGCTGTGCTTAGTGCTGTATAGTGTACAGGGGTGGTAAACCTAGAGACTTAGTGGTATCCATCGCCGTTTCAACTCTGGTCAAGACTGGTATTTGCTGCAAGATGACTGCAGATCGTTTCCCTTTCGCTATGGTTCCTTTGTTTTCCATCTATAAAAACCACACGTCGAAGAGTTTAATATGCTGAATGAGATATATATGAGATAATAGAGCATAAAATAAGCAAATAAGAGGACAATCTGCTTAGGATTCTGAAAAGTAGATAGCCTGGATAATATTAGTGCAATTTTCAGAATTTCAGAAGGAGGTACTTAACCCGCCACCTGCATTGATGGGGACTGGAAGTATATCCACTACTAAATAACTCTACCTAATATCCGGTCGCTTATTACCACCCTCCAGCCCCTTCATGATAAACTCAACTTCATCGTCTGCCACATCGAGTATATGGTGAGGCGGATATTGTGGCTCCCACCCAATTTTCTGTCCATGCTCAGGCGTAAACATACACCTAGTCTCACAGTTAGCACTACTTTCAAACACCGCCATCCAAGAGAACATTACTTACCTCCCCCCAATAAGCACCGGCACCTCATCTGGTGCAACACCAAGCGCCTCACCCATCTTCGCCAACACTTCATCATCAGCCCGCATAACAACATCATCCTTAACTAATTTACGCTTCGCAAGCGCCTTAGCCATAGCACTGTAAACTCTATTCCAGGTAATACTGCCCGAGGCAGCAAGGAAGAAACCATTCCTACCGTGGCTGATTTCTTCTCCTGATAGTATCTTCCGGAGAATGTGCAGGTACAACTCTGCTGTGTCGGAGATGTGGCACACAGGCCAGATCTGGATTTCACTGTTAACATATATGCGTGGATGATCGCGATACGGAAGGTACATACAGGATCGTCCGTGTCAACCTTATACACCCGACGCAGCTTTAAAGCAGCGCGAACAATATCAACATCTTGGATCGAAGTCCGGTTGCCGAACCCTTCCCCCTGGCCGTATACAAGACACGGAGCGAAGATGTAGGTCTGTACGCCGTGTGCTTCGGCTGTGTCGATGATAGTCGCGTTGGTGTTGGCGGACTATTTTTCCTTAGTAACGGTGGCCCACTACATCAACAAAGATATTGTGGAGTCAACTCACTTCAGCAGCGAACTTATGCTTGGACTTCGCCTCCTTCTGAATATGGTAAAGTCTCGGATCCGTATCCAACAATACCTGATCGACAGAGACGCCCGCATGTCGACTAAACTGCTTTGAGCCAGTTGTGTGCAGAAAATGTACGTCTTTGCCTGTTTTCCTCTTGACCTCTCCTAGGCCTTTGATGAAAGTCGGTTGATGCTTTGCTGAGTAGGCATCGATGAGGTAGTAGACAATAGTGATTTGCTTGTCGATGATGGCCTGGGTGACGGTTTCGTGATCTCTAACATTGAGAACAAGAGGCTCTGCACCATATAGTTTTTGCACTTGTTCTCCTTGATCCTCTGATCTGACCAATGCGTATAGTTTTCCGTATGGTGGGAGGTTGGCGTTCTTCCAGCGCGCTAGGACGGTGCCTCCTAGGTAGCCGGACGCTCCGGTGAGGAGGATGTTGTGGGACATTGCGATCTATTATGTGTAATTGAGGTATTTGGGAGGTGGAAATCCTCAGCTTGCGCTCTTGAACTGTCTTATTTTGAAGGATGATAATGAATGGAGTAAGCAGATTATATATGTCTAGATATGGGATTAGTAACAAAATAGTTCCATGTCGTTACTGACGCGCTAACCGTTAACGGACTGCTCCTGTAGTTCCTATTGGTCAAAAGGAACCTCTCTCGCTCCACTCAGTAGTATCTGAGTGCTTCGCAGAAGATCTCCATGTCCTCCTGTTGGTTAAGCCTTCGATCATTCTCTCGAAATCAAGAAAAGGGTTTTGATGTCTCCACATAGCATGGACTTCTCGATTAGCAATCATTTCTACCTGGCGGGGTTGATGACGCTCGTGAATATTCTCCCTTCTCATTGCCCCGTGACAGCCAATAGGAACCATGGGAGCGTTCAAGTCGATTTACTTCCATCAAATTGAACCCTAAGTAATAAAGACCTTACAAAGAACTTCAACGCATATAAAGGTACGCGCATCTGATCATATTCTGTATATACAAATTCTGTTTCACCCTCTTGTAGAATCCAATTCCCACACCATGCAACGTTACATCTCCCACTTCGACGGCATCGACGGCCTCAAAAAAGAAGATGTGCCAGTCCCATCACCCAGACAAGGCGAAGTCCTCGTCCAGGTCCGTACTATATCGCTGAACTACCGCGATTTGGAAGGTAGGCGCTTTTTCCCTGTCAATGTCATGCACCCAGCAACTAATCTTCTCAACAAAGTGATCAACGGCAAATACGACCACCACCGCGCAATCAGGCAAGTGCCAAACATAGTCCCCTGTTCAGACATGTGCGGCGTGGTCCAAAGAGTCGGCAAGAACGTCACCAAATGGGCCGTCGGTGATCGAGTGGTTTCCTTATACGTCCCGGACCCCAAGACAGGACAACTGACTGAGAGAGCGCTCGCTACCAGCTTGGGCCTCCCTCAGCATGGTGTGCTGGGAACGCATCGTGTTTTCGCGGAGGATGCGTTGGTCAAGGCACCCGAGCACATGAGTGATGAGGAGGCATGCACGCTGCCAATCACGAGTGTTACGGCGTGGATGGCGATCAATGGCACGCGGCCGTTGGGCGAGAATGGGGGCCGGGGGGAGTAAATTCTTCTTCAGGGGGCCGGAGGTGTTAGTATTGCTGGTTTGCAGATTGCGAAGGCATCTGGTGCGAAGGGTATGTTACTTTGTCCCTAGATATATAATTTGGGCTGACTCTCCGGTACAGTTATAATTACTTCGTCGTGTGATAAGAAACGAGCCATGGCAAAAGACCTCGGAGCAGACTTTGGTATTAACTATCGTCGGATACCGGAATGGGCTAACAAAGTGATGGAAGTCACTGACGGACATGGCGCGGATATTATTCTTGAAACGGGTGGGTCGCAGACGTTAAGTCAGAGCTTCGCGTGCGCTGCGTATGGTGGCCTGATCAACTGCATTGGGTATACTTCTGGCAAGACTCAAGCTTCTGGAGAGCAAAAGAACGTCAATCTGCTCACTATACGTTGTAACCTGACATTGAAGGGATTTATTAACGGACCGACGGATCGCTTCGAGGAGCTGATCAATTTTGGGAAGAAACATGAGATACATCCGGTCATCTGCAAGGTCTTTTCTTTCAACCAGGCGAGGGATGCTTTCAGATATCTGGAAAGTGGCTCGCACTTTGGAAAGATTGTTATCCGGGCTTAGCTGGTCCGGATATTGTTTGATTATGCGACGATAAATAGCTAAGAATAACTCAATATGCCCGGGGATCATTCAGGAAGAGCCCGTTAAATGTAGAAATGATGGTGTGAGAAAAGCCTGTATCTAAATACGTTAATTGTCACTATAATTCCTGAGCTGGATGGACTGCAGGATCCCCGAACAAGGTTGAATGAGAAAAGTCCGTGAAGGCTTCGTTGACTCCATCGCAATAACTGGGCCAGATATCGGGATCAACGAGGTCCGCCCAGGGCCAGAACAAATCATCACTTGTCTGGTTCTGTGGAAGAGACCACAAGGACTGATCAATGTTCGTATTGCCAGCATCCATGTCCATGTTTACCGAATCAGACTGTTGATTCGGCCGTCGTGTCATACCATCTTTTGTTGGCGGAGGCACATCGTTTGTGCTATCGGACACACCACGCCGGAGGTCAATATTTAACATCATAGTCAATTTGTCGACCTTCTCACATAAATGACGAGTGAGACATGCTGCACGAACTGCGGCGTCATTTTGATAACCCGCAAACTCAAATGTCTCCAGGGCTAGATTGACGTAGCCTCGTGCTTGTGGACAGCGCGGACAGAAAGGAAAAGCCAACATGAAACCCATCAGCGTCAGCACGGCATTCCACTGATATTGATAAAGTTCACATGATCCATAGAATATATCATGCGCGGTCATACAAGAATACACTGTTTGGATCGTTGCCAAGGCGTGTTTCAGAGCAGTTGCAGCATGTGCGCCGGCAAGGGGATTTTCTCGGTTCATGGCGGGCTGACGAGGGAATTGGACAAAAACTCTATGCAGACTAATCATGGCATCGTGGTATTGGAGTTCAAGCAGGGCCTCCGTTTGAATTTGGAGTGGCGCTTTAATCATATAGTTATTGTACTCCTCGCCACCTCCATTCTCTCCTGGACCACAGAAATACTTTCGTGAGACGGGCACATCTTGGACGTCCAGTTGAAGGTGCTTGAACCATGTGTTTTGGCGTAATTCGTCTTTCCATACACGTAAATGATGCAAATTATCTGTCAAAACGTTTGCCTGAAGTTCGATGTCATGTGTCTTTCTTGTCTTTTCGTGGTGTGCCATTGACTCAATGACAGCCAGGGCCGCACACGTGAGACGAATCGATTCATTATGATATGGGAACCGTACCGGACAGGGCGGATCGTTCAACATCCAACATGGTGATGGAGATCTAGATATAGGGAGCTGTACACTAATAGGCTTTCCAAGGTGCCTTGAGCAGCGGAAGTCGAGATGGACTAAGGTCCACCAGATACGAGAGTGTAGCTCCGCCTGCTCCCGAAATGCTTGAGGGGGCGGATCACAGTCAAGGTCTAATGATCGAGCAATCCGAACAGCAAGCCCGATCATGTTATACGCCGCCTGATGTTGTCCGGCGTCCAGTAAGTACAGGGTCATGATACAGTAGCACTGAAGGATTGGAAGAGAGGGCTTCGCAAACGTTGAATATTGCATCGCGCCTGTTAGACAACGTTGGAAATAAGGCATGCCAATGTTCTTTGAGCACCGATTGCTCCTTTTGAATTGCTTCCATTGCAATCCAAGAAGCCGAGAATTGAGACCAGAGTAAAATATATACTGCATGGTGTAGGCTGTTACAGCATCCCGCAGAGGTTGTGGATGGGAGCCAGTCGCAGTATCCTCGTGGGAAGGAGGGCGCTCTAGATCCTCTCGGCGAACAATTGGAACTTGTGGGAGTAACCGAGCCCAGAATATCTCTAGAACGTGATTAACTTGAGCGGAGGATAAATCGCATTCAATCGCAGCTGTGCCATCTGTATCATGGGACGTAAAAGGTGATGAATAAGCAGGGGGGGGGCCCGTAGGGGACCACCGAGAGGATAGTTGGGATACACCAGCGCAGAAGGTGTTTATGCGATCTATGAAGCCAAGTGTTGAGTCCAAGCGATAATTGATCGGAGCTGTCTCTGTGTCGTCGGGACAAGGTGTCATGCCCCCGCTGGGTGTCTGTCTTCCCTTGGTGACACTGGCTCTCGGGGTGACGTGAAGTGAGGATGGGGACGCATCCATAGCAGCATCTGCCCGACCAGATGGGCTGTCAGAGCGCCTTAGGCGGCTACAGTGCACCTTGTTCATCACGCATTGATGGCAGGGGGCAACTGCGTCGCACCGCACTCGATGCTCGCGACAGAAACGGCATGCCCGGCGCACTTTGCGGCGCCTAGGCACTGAACCTGGGGTCGGAAAGGTATGTATCATCGTCCCAATTACTGCAGCTCAAGTACCATGAAGGATGACCTTTTCTAAGCATTGCTGAATTGACGCTACAAGTGGTAAGTGGATGCTCTTGCAGGCATCGGCGAAAGTCTGGATATGAGGATTAGTCACCAAGATTCCCCAGCGTGACTTGTCAGGTGATCACCGCAGCGACGATGAGCTGCCCTAGAAGCAGGATCAAGCCTTTGTCATATATGAGAATTCCTGTAATCTGCCAGGACTCGAGTATTGAGTAACCTTACCCTTTTGTTGCATAAGTCGTAATCCCACTCAGCTAAGGTCCAAGTGCCGTCAAAAGCTTTGTTGATGGATATGCGATGTCCTTGCTGATGCACCCAACCCCTCAACCAGTTCCACATAACAACCAAAGCCATGTGTGGGTGCGACGTTGAAGACTGCAACAGGCCTGCTGTACGATTAGACGTTGACTGTGTTATTTGCAACCGTCATTTTTGTGCTGAACATATTGAACACGGATGTCCCAAGTGGCAAGTGGGGAAGAAATTTATCATGCTCTCAAGTCCTGACACATCTAACAATCCACATCAAGGAAGGGGAACTCTACGATCTAGCTGCTCAAGGAGCAGAGAGGGGCGAGGTAACCAGTTTATTAGACTCTCTGAACTTGTCTGCACTTCTCGAGAAAGCAAGCTATTTACGAAATGGTATTGCCTGCTTCTTCTCCCGGCCCCTTGTGTATGACAGATCGTTACCTTCATCAGTGATGGGTGGCATGAACTACCACATAGAAATTCTTTTTGCTGATGGAGCTCGGTGGCTGGCTCGTATTCGAAGATCTAACGCTACTTCACCACCGCCCGGCCTACGTGACTATATCATGCGCAGCGAGGTTGCGACTCTCCAGTTCCTTGGCAAAACCAAAATTCCTGTTCCGAAGGTGTTCGACTACGCGCTGGAAGGCCAGACTCCCGTCGGCGTTGGATATATACTCATGGAAAAAATCCCGGGGAAGTCATTACGCGTCTCTCGCATCTCAGGAGCAAAGGAAGAAAGTTATGACTCAGCTAGCGGATGTATACATTGAGTTGGAACGTTTTGCGTTCGACAGTATGGGATCTATGGATGAACCAGGAAGTGATCATATTGCTTCGTTTGCCAGGGAATCAATGACCGAATATGTCAACTCGCAGATGATTCCCCTCGGGCCATACAAGGACCCGAAAGAGTACCTCCAATCTACCATTGAACTCATTATGAGATTGATCCTGAGAGGGGAAAGCTATGCAGGACGCGAGATGGATGCATTCTTAGTTCACCGGTTCCTTCTTAGTAGCCTCCCAAAAGTATTAGAACACCACACCTATGATGATGGACGATTCTATCTTCGGCACGCTGATGACGAGGGTGATCATATTCTCGTTGAAGGAGATTACAATATCACGGGAATCGTTGATTGGGAATGGGCTCATACAGACTCAAAAACTGAAGCCTTTAAATCGTTCGTCATGCTTTTCCCAATTTCTGACTTTTACGACGGAGTTAATACCGTTGGCGAGGACGAATCTACTTTTGCAGATACACTCGAGGCAAAGGGAAACAATGGACTTGCAGAGATAGTCAGGAATGGGAGACTGCTTCATCGGTTCCAGTTCTGTTGTGGGTATGACTTTGCAGACTGGGAAGGGTTTTTATGCCTTTTTCAGGGCCTTCGAAATGCCTTGAACATAGATGCAGATATGAGTTGGGTTGATTGGAAGATGAATGCTTTAGAACGATGATTCAAGTCATCCTCCATCCCAAATATCTGGTCTTGTCAGCAAGCGCCTTCATTTAACAAATTAAGATAGTTACTGCTTGAATACTAGTTGAGCTCTTGTCTACCTGCTGTATTACGTAGAAGAAGAACCTGAACCGTTAGAAAAGCTTTTCTCAGACATAGCTAAGCACATACATCATTCGCAAGAGATAGTAGTCGATCTTCCGGGTCAATTTTTTATATTGTTGCTCAGTATAGTCTATACATTGTCAACAACGTACAGCTGTAGCGAAGGATGTAGCGTACCAGACACTTTAAATGTCCCCAACCTCGACATTGGTAGCCTTGATGACGGGGTCGTCATTCTTGTCAGTCGATTTTCGGTCCATGTCTGATACGTCCATGTTGAGAGCATGTACGTCTCTGTTCTGTGAGAATCATCAGTGTACAAAATCTTTAGAATCGCCCCTACATCTAGATGCGGACTTCACAAGACGCAACCCCTCAAGTGCTGATATCAGATAAACAGCAATCGCTATCTGACAAGGAAATCAATCTGCCCCAACGTATCCCTTAGCTAACCAATAGCAGTCACTCAATACCCTAGTTCAGAATGAGACGGTTGTACACTTTGGTATGCAATTCTCAAGGCCGATATGGCCTTCCCTATTACTTTCCTACTATTAACTATCCCTAAGTTTTCCCCTTTCATACCTCAGCGATAATGACCTTGATAGCCAGAGATAATCGGTGAAGCCCGAGCGAGCAAGCTTCCCCACCGCGATAAGCCGAAAGTGGGGTAGAGATCGGCCAACTGTCCGCTCCCATCTACCCCTACAGTCGTATATACAACACGGCCCTAAAGCATGAACCTTCAACTCCGCGCGAGACAACCTGCGTTTTCAGTCAATCATCCGTGCGCTGGCAAAACCAAACATGCCCGCTCCCGTCCCCAATTCCACCACCCCCTTCTGGCGCACCCATCCCCATCCCCTCGATCGCCACCGCAGTACCCCAGACCTCCCTACTGAATGCGACATTCTCATAATTGGAGCCGGCTTCGCAGGCGCAGCCTTAGCACATTTCTTGTACAAGGATAACACCTCGCCACCATCAGTGGTAATTCTTGAAGCACGCGAAGCATGCTCTGGAGCTACGGGTCGCAATGGTGAATTCATCACCTACCCCTGCCACATCCCATCGCTCACTAACCACCCAAGCAGGCGGGCATCTCAAACCAGACGTCTACCTCAATCTCCCCAAACATATCAAAAAGTACGGTGTCAAGGCCGCAGTAGAAATTGCCAAATTCGAAGCCTCTCAAGTCCATGCCGTAAAGGAGCTAGTCGAGACTGAGAACATCGACTGCGACTTCGTCCTCACCCGCGCGTGCGATGCAACGCTGGACGAGAAACTAGCAAAAGAGATTGAGACTGCCTATGCAGAGCTAGTTAAGTCAGGTGCTTCCGATCTGAAAGATGTACAATTTACGTCGCGCAAGGATGCTGAGCGAGTGCGTTTATCCCCCCTCACTCACTCACCTTTCGCCCTACAGTCATACTAATTAGTTACTATACACAGGTATCCGGCGTCAAAGGCGCCCTCAACTGCTTCACCTTCACGGCAGGCCACATCTGGCCGTACAAGATGGTAATGCATCTCCTCCAAGGTGTCGTTAACCGAGGCGCGAACCTCCAAACCATGACTCCTGTTATATCTATCGATGAGAGCCCTCTACCCGATGGTCGGTGGGTAGTACACACTGATAGAGGCAAAATCAAGACAAGGAAAATCCTTCTTGCGACGAACGCATACACATCTCATTTGGCCCCGCAATTCAAGAACCACATTGTCCCGGTGCGCGGGATATGCAGCCGTATCGTCGTACCAGAAGGGAAGGTGGCACCATTCCTACCCCAAACATATAGTATCCGGTATGGGCCGTCCATGTACGATTATTTGATCCCCAGACCAGACGGGAGTATCATTGTTGGTGGGGCCAAGACAAAGTTCTGGACGGATACGAAGCACTGGTATGATGTTGTGGATGATGGGAAGTTGATTGAGCCTGCCAAGACGTACTTTGACGGGTTAATGCAGAGACATTTTGTTGGCTGGGAGGGGAGTGAGGCGTACACGGATCGGGTGTGGACGGGGAGTATGTTTATCCTCTTTTACCATTATTTCTCTCTGGGGCAAGTAATTACTGACTGTGTCTAGTTATGGGGTATAGTTCTGACTTCATACCATATGTGAGTGAGGTGCCTGGGAAGCCGAATCAAACTGTTATAGCGGGTTTCTCTGGACACGGTATGCCGCTGATTCTGCTTTGCGCGAAAGCGGTTGCGCGGATGGTGAGGGAGGGTGTTGCGTTTGAGGATACGGATGTACCGTCGGTGTTTCGGGTGACAAAGGAGAGATTGGAGAGTACGAAGAATGAGATTTTGGAGGGGTTGGAGAAGGAGCATTTTTCCAGCAAGTTGTGAGTAGGATATGGGGACAGTCAATATGTGGCCTAGGGTATAACTGCGAAGACTATGCTTCGCGAGACGAAAGAGCCAAGGATGAGCATTTTCCTCATTCACATCACTTATATATAAGGTTAGGATGAAAAATTTCTTTACTTGGTCTCCATCGCAGCAGTAGCTGTAATAATCCCCTCCGCCAGCATAGGCAAACTATCCTCCTCAACGTCCATCTTGCCAAAGATATCCGAACACTTCTCCTTCTCCCATAAAGACACCCAAGCCCCCTTGAACCTGCACAATCCAAGTTAGAACACGATCGCCCAAATATAAATACTACAAAGACCACTCACCCGCACCGCTTCGCCGCAGCCGCATCCCACATATGCGCCGCCGCAAACCAAGCCACCGACCCTCCCCCTCAAACTTCTCCAACAAATATCGATACGATTCTGGTGCCGGCTTACCCACTCCAATGGTATCACACGATACAAAGTTCTCCTCTGGGAACATCACTCCACCTTCAGCAAGATACCCAGCCACCCGGGATGTATCGCCCGATGTCAGAGCCCAAACCGTGAACCCGGCATTCCTTAGCTGTCAAAACACTCAGACAGCCCCGCACGGACTTGAATTCGCGATACGATGCAAGTAGATATTCACGGTCTTCATCGGTGGCGAATTCCCGTGGGTTCAGGATCCCAGCTTGCCATAGGGTCCTGTAGAAGATGGAACGGAATACATCGAAGAACTTGACGTAGTGGGTTGAGAGGCTTAGATAGGTGTATTCCTTTTCGCCGGCTTCCATCCACGCGTAGCCGAATAGACGGGGGTGGATGTTATAAGTTCGAAGCTTGGGGCCGAGACGGGAGTCGATTGCTGAGAAGAAGACGTCGTAGGAGACGCATGTTCCTGGGATGAATCTTAAAATCAGTGAGGAATGAAGGGATTTTTTTGGGGTGGGGGAGATTGGATTTACCTACGACGTCGAAAACGACGTGTTTGTCTGTGGTTGCCATATTGGTATAGGATATAGGACGAGTTTTCTTGTTCTGTCAATGCATGTTACCAAATAATTTCATTAAATGATCACAGATAAATCCCTCATATGCATTGGAGCTCCAACAGATGAAGCCCTTTCGGTGAACCGCCGCAAACGCGAGGAAATAGACGGGCTAAGCCGATACTTGGGCTGTGACAGGGGACGACCCCCACTTCAGACTATCTTATCATCGAGGAACCCTATCTCTCGAGCGGGGTCATCCAGACTCCGGATGAAAGCCGATAAACAAGCACCGCTGCAGGGATGCATGAGTAACCACGTCAGCTCGGCGTTTAATGACTGCCTTCATACTGCCTGCGCGCTGCTGCGACAGTCTATGCCCCTTATTTCCATTACCCCTCATTCAGCAACTTGCACTCAGAAGCTTCTTATGACGATGAAGTTTCCCGTTATCGAGCTGGATACTTGGGAGGGTGGACTACGCTATGTCTCACTTCACGATTCACACGTCGTCATTGTTCGACCCGAAGCTCAAGTTATTCCGCCCCAATGTCTCAGTCACAGTTGATCCTGTCAGTGGACTAATTGTGCGTGTCTTTGAACGCGACTCGACCACCCCATTATCGGAACTCATACAACCTGACGATATAGACCTCCGGGGGAAGTATGTGTTGCCTGGACTGGTAGACGCACACACGCATATCTTCCTTCATTCATATGAGTAGGTTCATCCGAAGCATAAATACTCAATCGCAAGTGGTATTGACCAAGGCAGTGAGGCAGGAGCGCTTCAGCAGAAGCGCGATGAAAGCATAGGCGAGCGCATGGTCCGAGCAGTTAACCACTGTCGCACGGCATTGCTAGCCGGGTACACAACCTATAGGTATGCATGTAACCTCCGTCCCACTAAGGATGAAGAGGACAAATCAACTCACCCCATTCAGAGACCTCGGCTCCGAAGGGATGCAAGACTTCGACGCCAACATCCGCGACGCCATCGCGCGAGGCCTCACTCCTGGCCCCCGCCTATTCGTAGCCACCAAAGTCCTCGCCAGCACCGGATCATTTGAATGCCGGACGGAAAACAGCGCCGGGGGTCACTGTCTGCCCTCCAGTGCCGACGCTGTCGATGGTGTCGAGGCATGTCGGCAAGCTGTTCGTCGCCGCATAGCTGCCGGTGCAGACTTCATCAAGTTCTTCGCCGACTACAGAAGGAGAATCATGCGGTATCCTCCTGCGCAACAACACCCGTATATTGCCGGGGTCTTGCATCCTCCGAAAGAACCGAATCCGGATTATATGGTGTTCTCGAAAGAGGAGATGCAAACAATCGTGGCCGAGGCGAAGTTGGCCAGGTGTCCGGTTTCTGCGCACTGTGCGACACTTGAGGGTGCGATGGCTGCGATCGAGGCGGGTGTATCCACCATTGAGCATGCGTATTCCACTACTGACCAGATGTTCGAGGAGATGGTAAAGAAGGACGTAATTCTGGTGCCTACGCTGGCTATAGCGGAGAGGTTGCACGCGAAGCGGTTTGATCAGATCCTGAGTGGGGTCAAACGGGCGCATGATATGGGTGTAAGGTTGGCTTGTGGTGGGGATACAGGGACGTATCCTCATGGTGAGAATGTTCGAGAGTTGGAGCTCATGATTCAGGCGGGTATCCCGGTGGGTGATGTTCTGGAGGCTTGTACGATTGGTGGGTGGGAGGCTTGCGGAGGTGATTTGTGCGGGAGACGGTTTGGATGGTTTGAGGAGGGAGCGCAGGCGGATATCATTGCTTTGCGTGGAAATCCAGTGGAGGATCCAGGGGCTTTGAGGAGGGTCGACTTTGTGATGAAAGACGCCCGAGTGTGGAAAATAGATGGTATGCCGAAGGGGATTTTCTAAACGTTCCCTGTCGTATTATACAATAGTTACTACTTGGGAGTGGTGGCAGCTCCAAGCGTTCAATGGATGGCCCTCATTGTAAAGCCGCAAATAAGTAAATCATGGTGGAAAGGTTTTATATTATATCAAAACTACAGATGCTCCTTGTTTAACAGCTGCTGTTCCTAGCAATTCCGACAGTTGTTTCCGTCTGACTCATAAAATGCCAGCTCCCCACAACAGAAAAGGCAAACCTCAATCTGGGTCACTCCACCAGTACGCCGAGCAAGATGTCTGTGGCTTACCATATATGTCGGTATCGTGCATTAGAAACAGAGGTTCATAGAGTGCTTCACCTGGAAGAAGACTTAGCCAAGTTCGGCAGTAGCACGATAGAAGACTGGATTGAGAACATCACCCAAAGACTGAAAGGTGGTACGAGAAGGCACAGTCTTACATACAATATGATATGCTTGAATTCAAACATGTGCAGTTTCACCATCTCATGGCGCGCATCCACCGGCCTACGCCCCGTCTAAGATTGAGGGGTCCAGACAACTGGAAGGCTGTGCTAGATGCATCATCAGATTTGATCCAAGATTACCTCGCTCAGGAGCGGCGTCGGAGGCTATTCTATCCTTGGCATGGGGTGCACATACTTTTCGAACTGCAGTCATCTCGCTCGAGGCGTGCTGATCAGCACGAAATTATGAGCCGCTAGGAGGTGGAGCTCATAAGATGTTACATACCTCGCTCCCTCAATGTCTTCAGCTTCTCACCAACATCAGTGAGCGCTTGGGCGAGGCAGCCGTATGTGCTGATCGGTTAAGGCCGCTCGCTGATAATGTCAGGACCGCTCTCACAAATCCTGACACGCTTGTTGTTGGCCATGGGTGATGAGAGTATTATCACGGCAGAGATACATGATTTACTGTTCACGGACGGGCCATTGTCATGGACCCGAGCCAACTGCGGAGATGTCCTGTCTGGTCTGAGCGACAGCGATCCATTGCTAAATGGCTTGGTGGATGACAGTATCGAACTCTTCTCGTGGAATCCCGAGTGGGATATCATGCCTGCTGGCTCAATCCAGGGGTATGGGCTTTAACCGAAATTATCACCTCTACTACGATGGTCGTTTTCTTACGTCGTTTTCTTTTCGTCGATGAGTATCATTAATGTAACATACCATGCCTGATTGGACTGAAAGGACTTTCCGTTCCTCGCTCTAGCATGGTCATGCAACGAGGCAGATTTATATAAAGTGGCATCTCTCGCTGAACTGGGAATTCATGACCATGTAGAGATACACAAAAGAAATACGGCAACATATAGCATTAGACGATTCGGCCCTCCTGGCATAAAGGCCGCAATATTCTCACGCAATCGTGTGGACAATACCACGACCGAGTTTCTCTATCTGGCTACTATACCAACTCTGAGAAAGGAAGTAAAGTCAGCGAGTGGCACCCCAATCACATACATCTCACTTACACTCTCAAGGCCAGCCCCAACCGATCTGTTGCTCAACATCTTGAGGATCCAAGGCTGTTTTATCTGTTGCGTGACAAGCCGTGCGCTCTCTTTCGGGACATCTGGGTTCAATAGAATGTCATTCGGCAAAGTCGGTTTGAGGACTGCTGGACGCCCAATTCCAATCATGTCGCAGTCCCCATCTGTCAGTGCCTTCTCCATACCAGCCCGGGTACGGAAGCCGCCCGTCACCATCAATGGAGTCCCTGGGAATTGCGCTCGGATAGCGCTGGCGAATTCCAGGAAGAATGCCTCCCGAGCCACCGTCCGAGCGGACTTTTCGGGCTGTTGAGATGACGTGGAGGAACTCATCATCTAGGCAATTATCAGTTGTGCAACCAACCACATGCCAAGGGGACAGTTCATCCTACCGAGGGATCCTCGTACGACCCACCACTGATTTCAACAAAGTCCACACCCGCCTCAACGATCAGCTTGAGCTGCTCAACACAGGCCTTCAATGCACTTTCGGATTGATGATCGACCGAGTTCAACTTTATCCCCACGCAGAAATCCGCAGGAACCATTTTGCGAATCGCACGGATGATATCGACAATAATCTTCACACGGCCAGCCGGCGAACCGCCATAGCTATCCGTCCTTAGGTTCGCCGTAGGCGACAGAAACTGAGACAAAAGGTATCCATGTGCTGCATGCAACTCCACCCCCTGGAACCCCGTCTGTGATGCCAACCGACTAGTATAAACGAACTGCTCGACCACATGATCGATATCCTTCTGGGTCATCTCCCTCGGTGTACCGAAAATCACCGAGCTCGCGACCCTATCCACGATTCTCGAACCAATGTTCAGCGGTATGGGACTGGGCGCTACATTCTTCGCAGTGAGACACCGCGAGCCCGCACCCATGGGCGATTGCCTTCCCGGGTGACTGATTTGCATGACTGTTGGCGTGCCATGTTTCGTACAAGCAGCGGACCACTCGCTCCATCTGCGGATCAGCTCTGGTTCGATAGCTGGGTTTGGTGCAAGGTCATGCGCATCTCCAAGGTACATCCTATCCACTTGGACGTTTCCTTATTAAAAACGTTCAGCGCGTTATTCACTGCGAACGGAGACTTTGCATGGCACTCACTCACCTGTCAGAAGCATACCCCATCCACCACGTCCCCACTCGGCATAAGCACGATTATGGAGCTCTGTAGGCAGGTTATCACCGTCAGACATATGTTCTGCCATTGCAGCCTTCACCAAACGGTTCTTCATTTGCAGCCCACATCTGAGGGTCAGATTCTCTGAGATTGCGGATTCCATGGTCGGTTCTCAACCAGATGATAGACTGAACTGTGATTATGAATATCAAATAAAATCTTGTCCGTCGCACACTCAATTTATAGAGATAAAACACCTGTCTATCTGTCTTTGAGCATGGAACTGAAATAAATTACATAAGAATTTCCCCCTGATCAATAATCCCCTCCTTTCGTCTTCCGTTCCTTTCTAGAAACCAATCGATAAACCATATGTCTCCGAGGATCCGGCCCCTGTACGACGGTACAATCACCTTAAATATCATCGAACAACCAATAAGAATTATCACATCCTATCCCCTTTTGAGAAACAGTTGCGAGTTCACGCGGCAGATCATAGTGGC